AAACCCATTGGATGTTGTACTGATTGATATTTTAGTCTTAGATACATGATTTTTTATTAGTTGTTTTTGGCTTTGAACTAAATGTAACTTTCATTAACTGCGAGTTCTCTAAGATATGTACTTTGTGTGCTTTGTTTTGATTTAATGAGCCCTTTTCAACTAAAATTGATAGTTTGTTCTTATGTTGTACTGGTACACCACTGTCCCAGGTAAAGGGGAGGGTTTTACGCCAGCAAACATATTTAATTCCGCTTCATTTTTATGTGCCTGTTCCAAGTCAGGAGCCTTTAATTCAGTTGTTGGCGTTTGTTACTACACATCATATTTGTTTTTCGTTTATTGTTTTGTACATAAATCTACAAATAGTTTTCTCGTTTGAATCTTTTAACTTTGTCATTTAGATGCCTTTTTATAGTTTGCCATACGGAATGGGTTTTGCTCGTTGTTGAAGGCCGTATGGTTACATATAATAGTTAATTTCTACATCAATTGGTCTCTGGTAGAGAACAGTCTCATTGACAATCATACCAAATCTTCTTATTTTTCATATTTATTCCCCCTTAATAATCAAGTTTCAAGTCGTCTTGGTCGGTAATATCCTCTTTTCTAACTTCTAACGTTTGTCGTCAGTTCCTAAAAAGGTCACCAAACGTGTGGGGGGTAACTTTACCTTTTCTTGTTTAAATTTGGGAGTCTGAGTATTTCGCCGACCATAGCCACTTACAGTGTACCTTTGTCTTGTAGTATGAAACTATCTTTGCGAAAATAAATGCTTCAAAGTATTAAATGAAAGTAGTTTTTGTAATGACAAATCAAACACATAATATAAAGATAAGGAGCTGTGGTATGATTGCCAATGAGACAACTATCCACTAAAGTCAAAATGAAGTGGATGTAAGCAATTATAGGCATCCGTACGACCTTCAACAATGAGAAAAACCCATACCGTATAGTCGGCTATAAAAGGCCCCCACTACAGCTGTGGAAGAGAGTCTCCAACGCACCAACAGTGGAGCAAGGATGAATGTAGGTAGTGCAAGCCGAAAGGAAACTACAAAAAGGATAACGGAGACCCTTAACATGGCAAAACCTAAAACCAGAATTGGTTTTTGGAACGTCAGAACATTGTATGCAGCAGAAAAATTGGCTCAAATAACCTAAGAAATGCAGCGGTACAAATTACATATCTTAGGCGTTAGTGAAAGTATATGGACAGGATATGGCAGGATGACAAAAACTTCAGGAGCTACTGTAGTATACTCTGGGCGAGATGATAACGAACATCACGAAGGAGTGGCAATAATCATCAAAAAGGGTATAGAAAGAACACTGTTAGAATGGAAACCTATAAGCAGTCGAATTATTATGGCAAGATTCAAAGGAAAACAGATTAACATCCCTTTATTTCAATGTTATGCTCCTACGAATGAAGTTGATGAAGAGAACAAAGATGCATTTTACGAACAATTACAACATGAAATTGATAAAACACCAAACCATGACATGAAGATCATCATGGGAGACATGAATGCAAAAGTGGGTTTGGACAACACTGGCTACGAAAGAGTTATGGGAACGCATGGTTGTGGTAATATAAATGAGAATGGGGAACGACTTGTCGATTTCTGCTCAACAAACAATTTAGTAGTAGGAGATTCCATTTTTCCATACAGAGACATCCACAAACTGACATGGTATTCCCCAAACATTAGGGATAAAAACCAGATTGATCATCTAATGATAAACAGCACATGGAGAAGATCATTATTAGATGTGAAAGTTAAGAGAGGAGCTGATGTAGGATCTGACCACGAACTGATAACAGCTTTCATCCAACTGAAGCTCAGGGCAACTGGAAAGAAAGTTTCATCAAGGAAGGATACCATGTATTGGAAAACTCAGTAAGAGATGAAAATGAAACATTCGATGAGAAGTGGAATGAGATATCAGATATATACACTAAATGTAGCGAGGAATGTATCCACTATAAGCAAAAGACAAAGAAAAAAAGATTGGATCACACCGGAAACATGGAACCAGATTAACATCAGAAGGCAGGCTAAAAAGAAAGTCAATGACACCAAATCACCAAGATTGAAAGACAAATACCAACAAGATTATAGTGACATACATCGCAATGTCAAAATCCTGGTTAGAGCTGATAAGAGAAGATTTATGGATAATTTAGCAGATCAAGCAGAAGAAGCGGCTAATAAAAGAGAGCAAGGCAACCTCTACAAAATTACCAAAATCATCTGTGGAAAAGGCAAGTCATCACCTAACATCCCAGTGAAAGACAAACAGGGTAATTTACTAACATCTGAAAATGAACAAGAAAAAAGATGGGCAAAACACTTCAGTGAAATTTTGAACAGACCATCTCCAAAAGAACTACCGACTATTCCAGAGCCTAACATTGAACTGGAAATAAGTATTGAACCACCCACCATATCTAAAATTGTAACAGCAATCAAGACTCTAAAGAACGGAAAAGCTCCTGGTTCAGATAATCTAAATGCAGAACTGTTCAAAACTGATCCCATCTTAGCGGCCAATACCCTCCAACCAATTTTCCATTACATCTGGAAAAAAGTTAAAGTACCAACAGAATGGGATAAAGGTATTATCATCAGAATACCTAAAAAGGGTGCATTAAATGACTGCAATAACTGGCGTGGAATCACTCTTATATATATTCCTAGCAAGATCTTGGCCAAAATTATTATAAAAAGAATATCCGAATCAATCGACAGTTCATTAAGAAAGGAGCAAGCAGGATTCCGCAAGGGAAAAGGCTGCGTTGACCAGATTTTCATCCTGAGAAATATCACTGAACAATGCACTGAATGGCAGCGGCAACTCTACATCAATTTCATCGACTTCGAAAAAGCATTTGATAGCATTCATAGGGAAGCCTTTGGAAAATCATACAACTTTATGGCATCCCACAACACCTGATCCATGTAATCAAGGCTTTTTATGAAAACTTCAAATGTACAGTCGGAAGTGAACAACTTTATTTCCCAATTAAAACTGGAGTAAGACAATGATGTGTAATGTCATCTACACTATTTATAATAGCCATTGACTGGGTGATGCGACAAACAACTGCAGATATCCCAAGAGGCATAAGATGGGGAACTTTCACCATTCTTGAAGATTTGGACTTTGCTGACGATATTGCCATGCTATCGCACACTCACCAACATATCCAGGAAAAGTCCAGTCGAATAGAAAAGTATGCAGGACAGATAGGTCTGATAATAAACACAAAGAAAACTGAAGTAATGAGTTTAAACATTAACAACCCAGCACCAATTATAATAAACGGGAAACCATTACCACAGACCGATACCTTCACTTACCTAGGAAGTACTGTAAGATCAGATGGTGGAGCCAACACTGACATCAAACAAAGACTGTCAAAAGCTAGAGCTGCTTTTAATAATCTGCAGCCTGTATGGAAATCTGGTCAATACACCATCCGGACAAAGCTAAAACTATACAACAGTTGTATACTACCTATCCTGTTGAATGGTTCTGAATGTTGGCGAATGACAGAGGCAGACCAACAGAAGCACTCTACATTCCATACCAAGCGTCTGAGGAGAATCCTGAGGATATTTTGGCCACAAAAAATCACCAACCAGGACCTCCTCAATAAATGCAAACAGGAAGAGATCAACATACTCATTAGCAGGAGAAGATGGAGATGGATTGGTCATGTTTTACGTAAGAGCACTGAAGAACTAACAAAAGCAGCAATGTTCTGGACCCCAGAGGGAGAGAGACGAAGAGGACGACCTAAGATAACATGGCGGCGCACAGTTGAGTCTGAGATGGCATATTTCCAACATACTTGGGGGAGCTTTAAGAAGATGGCACAAAACAGACAGATGTGGAGAAACTTCGTTGCTGCCCCACACGCCAATGGGCGTAATGGGCAGTAAGTAAAAGTAATTTACGAAAAACAAATATGACAGACATGAACCAACGACAACCACTGAACTACAGGCTCCTGACCTGGGACAGGTACATAAAGAATGTGGCGGGATTAAACATGTTTGTGAGCGCTCAACCTCCCCTAACCTGGGACAGTGGTGTAACAGCACAAAATAAGAACAAACTATAAAAACAAATTTAAAAAGGCTTAACTCGTCAGATCGATACAAAGAAAAACGTCTTGTGTTAAACATGTTTGTAAACTAAACAAAATTTTGTTAATTGTGAATCTGTATATATCTATGTTGAGGAGACCCACACGTAGGCTCTGGCTGTTGGCAATCCTCTTAAAATAAAGAATTTAAAAAAAAAATCACACAAAAATACAGACAGGGTATATATATAATATTTTTTTTTAGATTGGTTATTATTTCATACATCGACAGTCTTGTAGTGTTCGCACTCTTCATACATCATAACGCTGTTACCAGTTTAGAAATTAGAACGATATTTTCAGACGAATACAAATTGTTACTCGTGGCCTGAAGCGTCTGATTATAATAACTGTTTCCTTACGATCGGCTCTCAAACCTTCTATACTGTATTACGCATTGCACTTCTAATTGAAGTTCATTTTTAAAATTCGCATTTGATTTAAATCGGCTTCGAAATTCAATGAGGTCTTTCGACATTTGGTCTTTACAAGCTATTATTAATCGATTTCTTCCGCTATCTTGAGTGCAAACTATTGTTGGGTTTATTACGATTTTTAATACCATTTCAAAAATAGATGACCTTTATATATTCTAATGTTGCTAGACTCACAATAGTATTATACCTTGTGGCATTCCAGGCATGGTAGTCAACTTTAATGTTATGTTCTCTTCATTGTAATCAGTGAGTTTTCCCTTTTTTAAGTCGTCCTCCTTTCAACATCTGTGTATAAGACTTTACAACACCGGTTCGATGGAATTCGTCAAGTATCTAATTGTAATCATTTCAAAAACGGAAAACGAAAAAGAGTTTACAAAATACTTCTCACTAAACGACAAAGAAAATAAGTTAGTTTTTTTATATATATAAATTACTGCTTAATATAAAAAATAAAATTAATTTTAAAAGATATAAACATTCTGTACAAATTATTTTGCTTTGAGATATGATTTCATATATTTTCCTGAATAGCATTGTAGTTAAAATACTTGAACACAGGTTAAAACAAGAATGTGTCCATAGTACACGGATGCCCCGCTCGCACTATCATTTTTTATGTTCAGTGGACCGTGAAATTGGGATCAAAACTCTTATTTGGCATTAAAATATGAAAGAATATATCATAGGGAACATAAGGGAACATGTGTACTAAATTTCAAGTTGATTGGACTTCAACTTCATCAAAAAACTACCTTGACCAAAAATTTTAACCTGAAGCGGGACAGACGGACGAACTAACGAACGCACAGACCAGAAAACATAATTTCCCTCTACTATCGTAAGTGGGGCATACAGATATAAGCATCAAATCATGTACAATGTCTCTATACTTATAATAGAATAAATCCATAACTATTTATAGACAAACGCCCCTTTATACTTTTTTTTTGCAAGTCGTGTTTGATGAAAGCCATGGTTCATTGTATTTTTCCGTCCTCTTATCACTTTTAACTCCTTCTTTGTCATCTGGTATATAAATTATTATATTTATAAACATCAGCAATTATGGCCAAGCAATTAGAAAAAAAACATACAAAAATTCATATACAAGAATAGAACAAATCAACGTTTAGCTAAATATACAAATGTCAGATAATATTAAATACAGAACTAGCATGAGAGATATCTGACGCCCTCAGTTCTACAAACTGTTTAAACAAAACTCCTATATGACAAACGAGTTCAAGAGTGAACCTAAAAATATATACTAATTTATCAAATAGGTCAAGATCTTAAATGATAACATATTGTCTTTAATAAAGGCAAAACAAATCAATTGATATCACAATAAAAAAAAATATATTCAGAATCTAGGAACTCTACATTTCGTAAATAATAATTGTATTCGGGAGTTCTTCGTGATTTAACCTTTTTTATTCTATACAAGGGGAATTACATTTGGATATCATTTGTCTATATATATCATTATTTCATATCAGATATTCATCAGACTGACAATCGAGAATACGTAGATATGAATCTGGTGACCCCAAATAAATTTTACATCAGCAAAATAAATATCTTAATAAACAATATTATTTGTGTGCTTTCTTAAATTGCAATTTCAAGATTGCTACATATTTCACCATTTTTCTATCTGTATCTACGGTATCAAAACATTTTAGATTCAAGATGCTGTTAAATTAACTCTAAATACATACAATAAAAACTTTTCTTTCAAAATCATTTAGATATTTATATCGTTTGAAAATGCATAGAAAATAAAAGATATTACAAAACTTCATTCATCAACTATAATTGCTTCTGGTTAAACTTTTAATCGGAAGAATCGAAGAAATCGAAACTTTTGTTTCAAACATGAAATAAATTAAGGTAAAGTATGTTATATATACTCTTAAAACACTTTCTTTCGACCAGTATGTAGATCAGTCATATTCAGTAATTTGCCCTATTCATAATAATTTCCTTAATGAATATATAACATTAACCTAAATATGGTTGTCTGTTTAGTTTCGTATTTGACTTTAGATATCGTGCAGTTCATGAATGCAAAACACAGTATACAATTTGTCGATATTACCCAGCAGCTGTGATTGTTAATTTACAGATGCAGCAAGACTGATGTCCAGTTAAGGATTGATGTCAGGATCTGCTAGGTGTTGTTTTGAATGATACGCGAGATATGAGTGTTTGCTCTTTATTAGATGTGTTAATGCGGCTTCGGGATGAATAAAATCCTCTTTGTTAAGTACATGTAGTGATTTTTGTGCCATTAATTTATAAAACATATTATTTTTCGTTATATTGAATATGCAACAAATATCTAGTATGATAATCGTAATCTATCAGAAGCTGTCATCTAAAACACTAGAATATCGATATAATGAAATACAAGAACACACATAAAACATTGTATTCTTTCCATTGTTCGCCTTGTTAAATTTAGGGGAAAAATGCCTAAACTCAAGTGATTAAGTGACCTTGGTATGGTATGGGCACTTGTCCTTCGTTTTGTAAGTCCCAAATTCTGAAGTTTATATGAATAACAGGAGATTGCTGGGTTAAAGTTAACATGGTTAATCAGACAACAACCCAACGACACAAATAAACAAAGATCATAAATAAAGTTACTTGACTTGAATTCCACACATTCTATAAGTCATATTTGCATTTTAACATCCTTATAGACAACTTTTGTTTATAGTTGAGTTTCATATAAAAGGAACCACAATCGATTTACAACGCGGTTCGATGAAACGAATCCTCTTCCGATGTACCGGTTTGATCTGTACTTATTATATTTTCGAACCCTTTTTTGGATTGGCTATTACGACTAAGATTTGTCGGTTCATCGTTTTGAGAGCCACTTGAAGAGCGAATTGTCGGAGATACGGTGGCAACTTTGCGATTTTCATCTTTCTCAAATGCTTGGTTGGCATAAGATCCTACCTTGTTAGTTTGAATTGACAACTTATTATCACCATTGCTGTTTTGTTTGCTGTGAAAAAACAGAAATTAAATTCGTCAAAATAAATTAAAAAATATACCATATACATGCAGAAGGGAAAGATAGCTGAGCTTATGCATATTGACAGCAAGTATAATCTTTATTTCATATCTGATTTAATACAGAGTCCACATTAGATTTCTTTATCAATGAATTGTTTAATAAAGTGTCGTCATGTTTGACGAAAGAAAACACACTGATTGGTTTTGTTACAAGGCGGAATAAATGAAAATCAAATTATGTAAATTCTTAACAGTTACACTTCCAGATCCCATTCTCGATTTTGACGATAAGAATTCTGATTTTTTACCCATTATCATACAAATAGTGTTCGCATAAGCGTTTTTATTCCATTGGTATTATCAGATCTTACTTTAAATGTATATGTTTGGAAATATAACGACTGTTTCAAACAAATGACACTTTGTTTTTTTTTCAGACAATTTAAAATAAGGTAAATGTACATGTGTGTTCATAAATGTGTAACACATTAATTAAAGAGAGTATTCAATGTTGTTGCATCTCTAGTTTTAGCCGCCTTATTTGCACTAAAAAATGTTATGGTATTGCGCTGATAGAAAACCTTTGAAAAGAAAACTTGACAAAACAGTTCCAAGCAGTTCGAAAGCAGTTTGCGACGATTCATTACCGATTATTTAGAAGATCATTATCCACGGACTTTAATATTTTTAGTATGAAGGGTGCAATAAAGTATGATATAGTTTTAGGAGGATGTGTTCTTTTCAAACATTATTGTGGAAATACGTTATATCATAATATACTTTGTGAAAGGGAGAGGTACTTATGAAGTTTGCTAAATTATATGCAAATGACAAGTTTATCAGTCTGACAAGAATAATTGTAAAAATGTAAACACATTCGAAGATGTTCTGTTTTATATTAGACATTATAACAATACCCTAAAAAAATATCACTTTTTACTATTGTTAAATTTACGAAGAGTTTATTAAATGTCAAATTTCTTTTAAATTTTCACGTAAGGTTTTTTTCTCCTTCCATATCCTGTCTTCCTGTTTCTTCGAGGATTAACTATCTATTGGAGCTAATGGTAAGTTTGATATTGAATGTTTGCTGATTTCCGTTAGTATTTGTGATTTTCTTATCTTCTATGGATCTCTAGTGCGGATTTTTCTATTCCGCGGTAAACGCAGAAGTTCTCTTATCTTTTAACACAGCGTATTATGCATATAGTTTGTATATCTGCAATGTTAATTTTGAAGTTCATAGTTGCTTTGTAACAAACAAATACAGACTGAACAAACTTTTGTAAATCGTTGTTTGATTGGCAATCGTGCCATATCTCCGCATATTTGTATCGCCTTTTTTAAATAAGAAAACGATAAAACATAGAGCTTAAAAATTTCTGCCAATCATCACTAACCTTGAATTATTAGATGAATCAAAATGCTCAACATTCTCATTTTCTTTGTGACGTCTGTCTCCAGCTTTATCGTAGATCCCGTCCTGTGTTTCCGCATACGCGTCTTCTTCCTGTTTATCAGAACTCTCTCGAGTTTCTGTGTTTTGCTTGTTTCTTGACTTTGTTGCTTCGTTCACTTGAGCATATACAGCGGGTTGAGGTGGTGTATTTCTAAAAATATTATTAGGAAATACTGCATTTACCTTGTTTATGGGTTATCATTGCCAGTAAATGTTCAAACTGTCACTAAAAACCAAAATGACACCAACAATATTTAACTTTAAAATGCAATACTTCAGGGATAAGTGTGCTTGCATTGAAAAATTGATTTTGATATTGCTAGTTAGGTACACTTCTATGACGTTGGTAATATGCAATGTATCAATAACGTTAGCAATAAAACCAGACAGAAAACTAGCGGGAACATAGCTACCAAATCTTGAACATATTGAACAATAGAAAATTTTAAATAATTTCTAGGTAATACTTATAAATCTTATTGCGTGATGAGAATAGTATGAATACTTAAACAGAAAGTTGAAGCATCATAAACATTTTCATTATGATGCAGACTTCAAGAAAAATGAGAAGCTGGCATTACTGTTTACTTTTTGCTATATATGTGATGTCCTTACAATAGTAATATTTTTATTACATATATTCAAGTAATACAACAGTTAATATACAAATAGGATAATGTGGAATGATTGCCAATGAGACAACTTTCCATCAGAGACCAAATGACGTAAAATTTAGGTCCCGGTACGGTTTTTAACAATGAGCAAAACCCATTAAGCGTAGCAAGCTAGAGTACGTTTAATATCATGGGATATATCTAGAAATTGAGAATGAGGGTAGATTAAGAAATTCACTTAATAACAAAGGTGAATATTTCAATTTTCCTATTGTGGACTTTAATGACAGACGGTTACTGATTAATAGCTAGCTATTGCATCAATGGTTCCAAGTGGTAAAATTGAAGATCCCTTTGAACGTTTTAAGGACACCATCATATCGTTTTACCGTTATGTAATACCTGTGTCACATCAGTGTGTCTCATATAACCAAGTGTATGTTCCACGTGTCATTAACACAATCCCGTTTTCTTTCATTCAATTGTGACATTACCGCAAATAACTTATTATAGGATTTTTACTTGCTTCAACAACACGACGGGTATCACATGTGGAGCAGGAACTCCCTTTTTTCAAGAGCACTTGTTTTCATCTCCGATTTTTGGTAGGGTTGCTTAGTTTATTTGTTTGTTAATGAGGTTTGTCCTCTCGTCCTTTTTAATTTTGGAAATTGTGTAGACACAATTTTCAAATGCGCCCTTGGTATTTTCTATCTTTTGTTTACTCTCTCCAAATGACTTTTAAAACCATTTCATAAAAGTGTAAAGATATCAAATTAAAGTCATTGTTAATGATCTGAATTATGCATATTTTAAATATGATTCATTTTAGACAAAGAATACGTAATTGGTTGATATTTTGGATTTGATGACATTTTGTATGCATTTAGAATTCGTTGAAATTCATCTGAATATCGAACAAAATGATATATGTAGCATTTATAATTGCATAAATAAAGGCAACAGTAGTATACCGCTGTTCGAAACTCATAAATCGATAGAGATAAAAACAAATCCGGGTTACAAACTAAAACTGAGGGAAACGCATCAAATATAATAGGAGAACAACGACACAACAAAAACACAACATTAAAATTTAACACACACAGAAACGAACTATTATATAACAATGGCCATTTTCCTGACTTGGTACAGGACATTTTTAGAAAAAAATGGTGGGTTGAACCTGGTTTTGTGGCATGCCAAACCTCCCGCTTTTATGGCAATGTTAAATATAACATTAAAATGACAACATTACATGACAGGATTATAATACAAATAAATGGGAGAACATATAGGACAAAGAAACACACGAATAATAGCTAACAAAAGGCACCAGGTTTAAAAGAAAATAAAGAAAACAATTAATTTTTCTGAAAAAAGTCTACGAATGTATAGAACATACTTTAAAAGAGGCAAATAATATACATTTGTTCTCTTTAAACTGCGGTTTTCTTGAAAATCATTACATCAACAGAATTTGAATTTAATAGTATATGGTATTGGTGTACACATTGTCACATTACCGTTTACGTGAATCTCTAACATCTAGTAATGTCGTATGAAAGTTGCTTTGAAATGTGTAGAGTTCTAAAATAAAAGAGACAGAAAATACCACATGTGAAATCAAACAACAAAAGTCTGCAGAGATTAAATAGACATTATTTCTCAAACAAATGAAAAAGAACAGTCCATAAAACAGAACACGATAAATTATACATTGGGCAATTCCAACATATCAACCACTGTGGAGTGAACTGACAATCTAAGGAAAGGTCAGCAGTTCATGCTGCAATAGTTTTATAGTTGATTTATTTTGTACGTACGATTCGTTCTTTTTCTGTTCCTCTTCTTCTTGTTTCTTCAAGTATTCTTTATTATGCTCTTTAATATCTTCAACCTCGAGTCCATTATTAACACTTTGTTTTTTAGTAGCATCATCTTCCAAAGCAATGTAATCATAATCACCAGTCCTAGATTCCGTAACCTGTTTTTTTTTAGAGTCAACGGAACTTTTAGACTCATTTTTAATTGTAGGGGATTTACTCTTCCTTCTGAAAGAAAACAATAATAGACGTGAAGTCCAATGTAAACAATAATTCATTTAACTCAACACAAATTGATTTAACATATTTTATTCAAACTTTTACATGGAACTTTCATATGTTTGGAATTTCAATGAGTTATCAACATCTGCGACTTCCCTTTTTGAATAGTTACTTAAAAGCTTCAATGATGGCTTATACTGTCAAGAACAATTCACTCCTTAAAACTGTTTTAAGACCTTGAATTAGTAAAAATGAATAATAGTCATATCTTAAATTCATTGAAAAAAGATTGTTATGTGTAGTTATCTATCCTTTAGGTAGAAATACCAATTTATTAGGGATCAGCATGCGTTGCTATTATATGTCAAGTTCTATATTACACACATTTATATGAATTTCTTTTCTTCAATAGTTGTAGCAAACGCGCTGTTATTGGTGAGTTTTTCCGCTAGTTCAGAGATATATTGATTTATTTCTTTCATGAACAATACATAGTCTCTGATGTATACCTTATTCACACTATAAATTGCTGTATATCAGCATGACTGTACAGAAAAGACAAATTGAACTCATTTCTTAATCATAAGAATTTAAAATAAAAAGTTAACTAGAATTATTGTTATTTTAATTACATTATACTGTTCTCTGATTTATTTTTTCTTGATATATTTAATTCTTACTTTTTCCTTGCTATCATAACAATTAGGAAAATGATGATTATAACGATAACAACCGCCGAAACAATACCAATAGCTGTATATAGATCTGTAAAAGAAAAATGATTGTTAATATTTAATAATACTAGTTAAACATTCTCATTTTGATTATCAGACAGACGGAGAGATAAAAGGCAAATCTTTAACAAAAAATCTCATAGAAAACTTATATTTTTGGTAAAAGTAGTATTGAACTTGAGAAGAAAGGATGACAATTTTAAGTTCAAAATATAGCAAGAAAAGGTATTGGTTCATGACTTACAATTCCGAAATACGCTTGACAAAATTCAATTCAAAGAAAAAGTGCTTTCTTGTATTGATTTTTGTAATCTCAAAGTCACTGTAATGTATTCAAAACGGAGCAAATGTTCGTTATTGGAAATTTAAGACTATCGTAGTTTTATTCGGCCAACTCCTTCAAATTGACCGAGAAAGATATTTTCTTAAACTGCAGAATGCATCACATGATTTCTTCTCAAAATAAGCGATTTGACCTGTTTTTGATATTATAGCTTATGTCTTCACCTTATTGAGCGTATCACACTGAATGTTCGGCTGTAGGTGTTTTTGATAAAGGTTAATATAGATCAACCTTTTTTCAAATCTAAATGTTTGAATCAAATTGCTAATGAAATCCTTCACTCATTTGGTCTAGTCAAGAACGTTAACAATTTATTAAATCAATTGTTAATTGTGAAGGCGATTCCTCGTCCAGTTGACTTTTTCTTGCTTATGATGACGGATGTAATTATATCTATCATGAACCAATACCATTCCATGTTATATTTTGAACTTAAAATTGTCATCCTTTCTTCTTTAGTTCAAAATACCTTTTTTTTTTTTTTTTTTTTTTTTTATACACAGTTTTGATTAAGAAGAAAAACCGACATGGTTAGAAAATACAAATAATAACACCATTACAAAAACAATTCAATTTTAATATTCTTGTCTGGTTAGAAATTATATAAAATAACACCATTACAAACTCAATCCCAATTTAATATTCCTGTACGGGTCTATAAATAAATCAAATCTATTTTATTTTTTAGAAATTTACCTGTGATAATATAAACGTCACACAAAAATACGTCACTTTTTGTGACGTTGATCCATTCATGTGACGCGCAGTTTATATTTCGTTTTTGGTGTCCTGGTGTTCTGTCGTAAATTCATGGGAGGTGTCCGTTGTTATTCTGCGGTTTACATGTTGTAATGTTTATTATTATATATTTATTTATGTATTTCTGTGCTCAATGATCTTGCGTTTGTTTGTACTGTATTCCTGTCAAGTAGTGTTGTCATTTTAGCGCTATTTTTAACATTGCCATATAAGCGGGAGGTTTGGCTAGCCATAAAACCAGGTTCAACCCACCATTTTTTCTTAAAATATCCTGTTCCAAGTCAGGAATATGGCAGTTGTTATCAGACAATCCGTTTCTATGTATATTGGCGTTTGCTTTTGGTGTAGTTCAGTGTTTCTGTTGTTCCGTTGTTTTCCTCTTAAAGTTCATGTGTTTCCCTCGGTTTTAGCTTGTTACCCGGATTTGTTTTTGCTTAATCGAATTATGAGTATTGAACAGCGGTATACTACTATTTCCTTTAACTATATCCTTTATTCCGTAAGGAACAAATACTGAATAATTTGTTCAAGTGGAATTAATATAACAGAATTTTTCTTCTACTTGGAACTTATATAATAAAGGAATTTCTATTTCATGACCACACAACTGTAGACAGTTTTGTGAAAGCATTTCATAAATGAATTATAACGTACAAAGTATAGTACTACACTTGGGGCTAGCTATAATATGATAAGTAGAAACTCATTACATTTGCTTAATGCTACCCATGATTCAATCATATTACAATCATATTACAATCATATGTTTGTATTGACTTTTGATTTGACAGAATTTTGAAAACACAACCTTTTTTTTCAAATCGAACTTGGGTGATTCTTTAAGTTCATGTTTTCGAAAACAATTAATATAATTTCAGTGCGCTCAATCTGTTTCTTGAATAACTCATTATATTAAATTACCTCTTATTCACTATACTCTTTACACTTTTCATATACAATCATACTACATCTTCTTTTTTATATTTACATATCATGTAATAAAGAGATTAATTCATCATAATTTGATATTGAAAACATTGGCACTGTGTTAAACGTTTTAATAAAGAAATTGGAAAATACACTTAAACAAATAAAACAAGCAATACCCGAGTTTTCATCCGGTTTTTCCTTTTTATCGTCAACACCAGAAGAACTGCCTGTGGAACTAGACTGGGTCGTTGAAATGTCAACTTTGTAAAAAAAAAAACGAAAAACACAAGGTTAAAACAATAATATACTTTTATGATTAGTCGATTTTTCAATTTTCAGTCAAATTAATGTTGAATATTCTGTACAAAGAAACAATCTCAATTCATTTCAATATATTCGCACAAAACCAAACAGTGGTATAGTAATGGAACCTTTGCATTCAGATCGGAAATCAAAAGGAACTGTGCTTAACTTACTATATTTTCTTATTCAAATGCGCATCTTTTCAGATAATCTGCTGTTATAAATATATGAACATGAACATCGATAATTGGAGAACAGACTAACAACATATGATTTTGGCAAAAGGGTAAGAATGTGCTCCCTATATCAGGATAAGCAGATGGAGTAAGAAAAGCGAACATTATTAATTAAGGGAATATAGCACTCTTTATACATATCACTATAATCGTGCAATTGTAAGCGTAGGTATATAAAACTAACAAATAAACAGGAATTGTACAAACAAGTCATTGCAAGGAAGTTGTTGATCCTACCTAAAGTACTAGAATGTTCGTTAATAGTGCATGTTGTATGAGCTATAAAATAAACAGATAAACGTGATATAACATTCGAAATTTACCGAAATGACAACCATAAAGAGAGTGTAAATGATTTAGAAAACCAGGGAGAATGTTAAAACAAGATTACTACAAAGTGCTTTACATGGTCACGTATTGGCAAATAATGTTTAAGACTTTATTTTGGCAACAAGTATTAGCGTATGAAAAGTGTTTTAATTTCAGAATATATATGTAAGCGAGCAGTTATATTTACTGTAACAGTACTATCGTTACTGAATTCAAAAAGTTCATATCAAGTAAATAATGAACACACATGTATAAGTTACAAATACATGTCACAATTTTTTTTTTACCTTTATTCATAATATTTACTTGCAAATCAGTAGAGTTTGTGAACGTGCCGCCATTGAAAGTGTTACTGACTTTACAGGTGTATACTCCACTATTCGTTACATTCATATCCGTAATATTCAAGTTTTCATTTGTGCTTATGCGTTCCTTATGGTTTTCTTTATACCATTGGTAATTTGGTTTAGGATTACCATCGCTCTTACAAGTTAAATGTATACTAGTATCTTCGCCTACTACATAGTATGCTTTATTCGGATATTTTATTATAGTTGGCATGCTCACTTCATCTGAAAAATGGAAGCATGCATACATGGTAGCGACAATATTTAGAAATTCCTCAGACATTCGGATTACATCTAAGTATGCATTTCTAAATATTATCATGCAAACTATACTGTAGATTTATTTACTGTAGCAGATGTTGTTGGCGTTTGCAAATATTGATGTCTTTTTGTTTTGTATTAATTGATTGGTGTTGTCTCCATGACGTTAAATCTGCAATTTCTTTTTTTTTCAGGCTTAAAAACAGTAAAACATAAAATCTAAAGTTGTGTATCTTATATGTCTTAATGATTTCAGAGTTGACTTCTAATACACATAGCATGAACATGCTAGAAACCTGAGAAAGCAAGCTTTACTTTAGATATGTTCGGTAAGCGGGACATAAACACAACAAATCATTCTAGTTTGAATATTATTACATATAGCTTTTCAGGAACTAACCTTTATTTGAAACTTTTGAAAGATATTGTGGGCATGCACACCTTACAGTCATTCAAAAAAAATATCGTTGACCTTTAATTAATGCTAACTAGAGAGATCACCTAATTACTATAACTAAATGATTAAATGCAAATGATGTTAAAGTCAAATGAATCCTATCAAATGCCTGACAACTATTTGAAAGACAAAATGCAGTTGATCTATTAGGTATAGTACTTGAGAGTGTGGTCAAACCGTTCAAAACTATCATTGGTTAATGAACCATGAACATAAGAAAACACAAGATTAATATGAGAAGGTTACAAGGAGTCTGATAATCAAATATTGTTGACATTTTTATTGTAGGCAAGAAACTGACAATCCCAAAACTAAAACTAAGAATGAACCATTAGCAATCATGTTCTGCATTCGATGGAAACATTCGTCGGAAGCGAAACAAAAATAGGTAACATTGCAATACTGTACGTTTTTGTATATCCAGGAAAAGTAGAACCCCTTTCCCAAAATATTCAATAAATCCACAGTATAAGTGCAAGACTATAAATAAGTTTTACTACGTGCAATCAAATAAAAAAAATCATTGAACAGTAATGTTATTTGTATTAGAGATGAAATGATGTATGACATTGTTAGAGCTGTGTAAATATGGATTTGATGCTCTAAGTGTTTTGAAGTAAGTGTTAAAACTTGCTTACATTGACTTTTGTCGAATAATTTTTGACAACGTAATCCCGTTTAAGGTCAAGCAAGTGTTGCTGTAAAGGTTTTTTTAAAAGAAATTAATAAATAAATATTACATACTTAATCCGCTTGAAAAACAAACGAAAAGAGACAAAAGATACATAGAAATAAAAGATAAAAAAATAAAATTTTGAATATTTGATATTCATTGGCTTTTATTTTTTTGTGTATTCTAACCTTTGATCTTAATTCCTATCATAGGTGAGCAGTTGTGCTTTCCGTAAACTCGTAATGTCTTTGTTGATATTTTTGTTTCTATTTTTATGCAAACAGAAGTGAAATAATGTTATAAAATTAACAAATTCTAATCAAATTTAAAAGATTCTATCCTAATAGCAACCAGAGTGTTATGTTATACAAAAGAAAGTGCCTACATCTACATATGAAATTTTTACCGCGAATAAGGTAACAAAGTATTAACTTACAGTAGACCTCTATTGGTTCCGTTTCTACATACATATCCGGCTCTGCCATTGACGAATTAACAACACATCGTATCACTGCATTGTTGTCTCTAGACATTACTTGGAATGTGAGGTTACTTCTACGATAGTAGGAACAATTTTCAGACATTTCTGATATTGATGTTTCAGTGGCTGTATATGTCATAGATAAATTGTGGCCATTACGATACTTTTGGAAGACATGTTTCTCTGCAGGTTTTCCAACGTCTCCTGTACAGACAACTGTTATGTTATCCCCTTCAGCTATTCCTTGTGCTGTTGTTGTTTGTTGTATAGAATGTGTAGTAGTTCTGTAGCTGCTGTCGGTGGAAAGATACTCGTCCGAAGGGGTAGAAGATGTAGTTTTATGATCAGTTGTTGGTAGCGTAGAATGGGTGGATGCAGTTGTATCGTTCTGTTCATCGCTGTCCATGGTAGATATTGTTTCATTTAACTTTGTTGTCACTGCAGAAGATGACGACGAAGTGGTAGCAGACATAGGTACTGTTGAGGTCGTTGACGATGAATCGGCAAATACCTTTATCCAAAATATTCTATCAGGCTTCGAAGGTGTCACTATTCGAAATAGAAATAGTCAGCTCATCACTTAGGAAGAAAATGTTTTTTAAATGAATAAGACCCAGTCGAATTGTGACCAGTAGGATTTGTTTCTCCTTTTTTATGTGAAAATCTGTTGTAAATTGTGTCGGAAGTAACCGTACCATAATAAGTATGCTGGTCCCAGTTTTGTGTAAATTTTTTTTTTCTTCAAATGTACATATAGTTTTCTCGTTAGATTTGTTTTATATTTGTTATTCGGGCCATTTATAGCTTACTATTCGGTATGGATTTGTCTCAATGTCAAAGGCCGTATGGTAACCTATTATAGTCGTTAACTTCTATGTCATTTTGTCTCTGGTGGAGAGTTGTCTCAATAGCAATCATACCACATCTTCTTATTCTTATATTCTCTCATTTATTGTTCACTATCATAGTTTTTTTACACGCTCTGATCTTAAGACTGGACAAAGCGTTTTCCTCATCCGCCTTTTTCTACAATTATATCAACTTTTTATATGCTAGTAATTGTATTCACAATTTATTCTTTGTTAGTTCTTGATTAACATTTAAAGCTTGGGTAAAATTTAAATTTGAGATATTCCCAGCACACGAATAAATGTTGTACATTTTATGCTGTAGACATGCAAATTTTTCAAACTGCTTTTTAGGTTTTTTTTTGTTAAAATATATATTTTTTAGCATTCTTTACAAACGTTATCGAGTAAATATTTAATGACTCAATTATGACTGTACCCTTTTCTTCACTTTTTTGTTATTCCTCAGGTGAAGGATAAAAGAATGAGTTGTTGAAAAAATACTTAAAACATCTACATAAAAATGTGCTAGTTTCACGTCAAAAATCTGGTTAGTGGTTGTCCTGAGTAAGATCTTACTGTTCTTTCATTTACATTCGCTAGTCTGAAGTACCGAATTGTATGCTTGGTATTTTATACGAGTTTGTATGCGTTTGTACGCGTTGTCAAAAGATATGATAAAGTCTGTATTTATTGATGACGATACACTGATCATAAGAAGACAAGTCATGGCAAACACTCATGATTTGTTTGTTGCGGCGTTCTGCAAAGAGTAGCGGAAAAGCTTGGTTTGAAAGAGAATACAGTTGGCAACTTCAGTTTTTTTTTCAATGATCGTCCAAAGTTTACAAGCTACTATTGTACTCAGATGATTTATACATAAATCATAGTCAATGATGTACAAATAATTAAAGAAATAGGATACACAAATGTATACACCTCTTGGGCAATTAATTTCTTAAGTTGCTACATTTATATAACTGATAAAGCATTTATTTTTTCAAATATGTGAGCAATTTTAAGGACATAATTCGTTCATATATATCGTTGTTTGATTAAGAGAAAAAATTAACCATTAAGGAATTTCAGAGACTTCATCACAATCATAATAAATTACAATGCTTACACATGTTTAAATAATATTAATAGTATAACATGAAAATATTTTCACCAGCATATCATAAAGAATATATCATTTCACATTTGAAGGAAATTAACATATTCTATTGATATCCGTCATTCAGATTGGAAATAAACCAGAACCACTGTGTATCATCGCCACCGGATATTGGGTACCAACGTAGCGGAGAGAAAGGAGAAAAAAAAACAAGGTAAGAAATACTTTTTTTTTAACCATTTCTACAGTTTTGATGAAACCGCTTATGAAACGATTTTCTGATAGATAGTGCTTTAATTTCTTATGCCAACAAGTAGCAAACAAAGACTAGATTTTGTGTTATACTTCAAAACCGTTCACTTGGTACCAGAAAATTTCGAGGTCGATCGCCTTTAGACGTCTCGCTGGCCAGATATTCAACTGTTTTTCATTCTTTTTCCAGACAAATTTTTAGATTATGATAGTGTGACCTCATATTTACTGAAATTCGCTATCAAAAAGATGTTTTCTAAAGAAGATCGGTAAAAATCAATCAATCCTAGGGTACGGCAACTTTCTCGTGTTTACAGATTTACAGTACGGCAACTTGTTTTCCAGCTGTATGGCAACTTGCTAGTTTTATAAAAATGTATATGCCGTCCTTTTCAAGATATAGTGCTATAAGTTCAAAAACCTAATTATGAATTATATTTCTTATATATCCGAGTTTACATCAATCAGATATGAGATGCAATGTAATGTTGTCAATTTTAATACATTGAACAAATGAAAAATCAGTTCATCTTTTCTCCCAGTCATAACATTTTGATATTCAAAAAAATGGTAAATTAAACGTTTACAATTTGAATACGATACATACAACAGCGGATAAATGTTTTGACTTTCTTTTACACTTTTGCTGTGTCTTTGACAGGCTACTCATATGGTTAAATGACAGCTATCATTAACACTGAAGCAAATTAAGTCAAATGATATTTTACATACACATTTTGAACTTTGTTAACCTTGTAAGAAAATCTTTTTATACACACGTAAGAATGACTCACCTTACACTCTGATTATCCCATTTATCAACGTAACGTGTACTTGGAAAAAATGTCTTTTCCCCGTATGCTCTCTTAAAACAGGTATTCAGTTTGGCAAACAACGACAAGGTCGCAAAATGTAGTTTTAGATTTGGGGGGGTTAGGGGGGGGGGGGGGGGGGTGTAGGAGGTCATTTGAAAAAAAGGCAAGACAGGAGTTTTGAGTAAAAAAAAAAGGCAGGATGAGCAACTTGGCAAAAAAAAAGGCAGGATGACAATTTATGTAAAAAAAGTCAGGATAAACTAATAAAAAAAAAGGCAGGACCGAATAGAGTGAAAAAAAGGCAGGACAGTGATAACAACTTAACAAAAATGCAGGACAAAAGTTTTCATCCTAGCCCCCCCCCCCCCCCCCCCCCCCCCCCTAAAAATCAAATGGTAGCTCCCTAAGATGCATAAAATTTAGTTGAGGCAAAGTTAAGTTAGAGAACGGAAACGAAAAAATCAGCAATTTTTCCATTTGTAACTCTAGAAAGGTAAAAGTGATGCCACCCAAATTCGAACTTGATCTGTGTATTGAGGTAATTAGCATTGTGTATAAGTTTCATAACATTTGGTTGAGGCAAACTAAAATTAGATAACGGAAACCAATTTCGGGACGTATGGACGTACGGACGGACATACGGACGAACAGGTGAAAATTAATGTCCCCTCCGCTACGGCGGGGGCATAAAAACCGGTTTGTTCTTATATGTGAATGAAGATTTGAGCGCCCACAAGCATGTTACACCGCGCCACATTCTATATGTGCCTGTCCCTAGTCAGGAGCCTGTTATTTAGTAGTTGTTGTAGGTTGCTGTCTGTCATATTTTTTTTAGTTTATCGTTTTGTCATAAATCAGACCATTGTTATTTTCGTTTGTCAAGTCTTTTATATCTGACTATACGATGTGGGATTTTCTCATTGTTGAAGGCCGTACGATGACCTACAGTTGCTTAAATCCGCTTCATTTGGATTCTGTTGGATAGTCGTCTCATTGACAATCATACCACATCTCCTTATCTTATATGTATTATTAACTTATTTTTAAAGGCTAATTTTAAAAGGCAACTACAACCAGAATGATAGTTTAAAGAAAATTTCTATTCTAAAAAAAAAAATCTTCTTCAGTAAAAAAAAAAGGCACAAGCTCGCGACTTATACTGTTTGAAATTTTTGAAAATAATATGCTATAAAACATCATTTTGAGAATGTATTGATATCGCAGAATGTTTATAGGGAAAACGGTAGTATTTATTCTTCCATAGGCGACAATACTAACATTTTCTAAATTTACAACTTTTATAATAAAAACCTGGACAAAACATTTATGTGTGATATTAGTACTTTATTAATCTGTTTTAGAAATTGAAGTCAAATGTAGCATGACCATCTTCCAACGGGGCTGGTTTATGGTATCCATGCCCACCGTCATTTTACATCAAATTTATGAAAATTTGGAAGCCTTTTGGAATAATTCTCAAGAAAATATTTCAATGTGTTTGAAAATTTATATTTTAAATATATAACTGCGGTTATTCATTAATAAATAAAGAAAATATATTATACCCTTACATCCAATCACAGCGCTCCTAAGTTGACTTCCTTCACCTGCCTTGGGTACACAAAATGCCAACCTAAAGTCGGGAAAATTTAATACTAGTTGTTTTCCTATATATACTGTTACATAAAGATATAAAGAATTCTTATGACACCATCAATGCAATACTGAGTTATTGTGAAAACCTTGGCTATAAGAAATACTTGTCTGTCCCCATTACTTATAGAAACATGGATCATTTTATGTCCCTACCCCCACATGCTGATTTATCTCTTTCTGCGCTTCTTTCAGATAAGGCATGATAAACTACCTGTATCCAATCACATCTTTTCTTATTTAAAAAGAATAGTAAACAGTTAAAAATGACTGTTCCATTCAATTTGTATTCATTTTATCCAAAATTTACATCATAAGCACAAATTCCAGATTTTTCATACTAAACTCCATTCCATGCTTTAATATATGCCATATTGTAGTCCAAAATTTTCAGAGCTTGTTATAAAATCCAGTTTTCTGTCTTGAGATGATAAGAACAAAGATGTTGGACACCTAAAACATTAAATATGCAAAAAAAACAGCTGTAAAGTTGCCTTTGTTGCCTGTATTAATCTATAAAATAGCTGAGTTATGTCCTTGGGAGTATTTATTTCCAGAATAAGACAAAAAGTAGAAAATGAAAAATTAGATATGTTAGATATACACAAAAGGCCAACCTAGTAAAGCCGGGAAAATGTAATACTACTTTTTTCCCTATATAAGGGATGCAAATCAGGCTGCGGCTACGGCATAGACTATTTATATAAAGCTTTATAATTGAGAAGATAGAAGACCTGGATACGCATATATCTTGTATACAGAACAATTGAAATGATATTTTAAGATTAATAAGTTGTATACCTTTTTATACATTAGAGCTAGAAGTTGTAATGCATCTGTTAAGTTCAAGAAATATAGTCACATTAAATCTAATAATGACAAGTGAAAATCAGTTTAGATCCTGATGGTGTATTCTCATTAAATCTTTGGAAAAAAATCAACGAAATAGTAAAGATTGATTTGAAAAAGCGTTAATTTAGATATCTGCCCTTGGATACAGTTTGAAGGTTAAATAAATGTTTATTTTTAAACACTAAAACCTAATATAAAGGTCGAGTTCCGTACCTTTATAAAGAGACGACCAGACCATTTGATACTCTTTTTTTGGGGGGTGGGGGGCGGGGTTGCACGAGGACTTTTTTCCGGATTGATCATTTGTTTGCTTATTTGTTTCCGCCTTTTTGTACACATCTGTCAGTTCTTACCCGGCCAAGTTATTTGTAATTCATAATCCTCCTGTCGCCTTCCAGAAAATCAAATTGCAATCTCGTATGTTTCAAAACAGAGAAGGTGTGTTTGAAAACAAAATAACCACGTTCTGCAGGAACAGTTAATGCAATTACAAGTCTTACTTGTATTGAATTATATCACTTTATTTGACACAATATTAAAGTCTAAATTATTGTCCTGAAACATGAAAAATGCTAATTTGTTGGCCCTTTTTGGCCCCTAATTACTAAACAGCTACGACAAAAAACCCAAAAATAAATGCCAACCTTCCTATTGTGGTATAGAACCTTGTGCTAAAACTTAATAGAGATCCATACACTTATACTCAAGTTATTGTCTGAGAACCAGAAAAAAAAAGTTTTTGTTGGTCCCATTTTGACCCCTTATTACTCAACAGCTACGACAATAACCCCTAAAATAAATCCAAACCTTCCTATTGTGGAATGGAACCTTGTGCTAAAATTTAATAGAGATCCATACACTATACTCAAGTTATTGTCTGCAAACCAGAAAAATAATTGTTTTTGCCCCTTTTTGGCCTCTAATTACAAAACAGTTACGATAATAAACCCCAAAATTAATCCCAACCCTCTTATAGTGGTATGGAACCTTGTGCTAACATTTCATTCAGATCCATACACTTATACTCAAGTTGTTGTCTGCGAACTTATTTATTGTCTATGAATCAGTAAAAAAATGCTTGTTTTTGGACCCTTCATGGCCCCTAATTACAAAACGGCTACGACAATACCCCCCAAAATCATTCCCAACCTTCCTATTGTGGTATGAAACCTTGTGCTAAAGTTTCATAGAGATCCATACACTTATACTCAAGTTATTGTCTGCGAACCAAAATGTGTTCGGACACCGACGCAGACATCGCCATAACATAATAACACAAACAATTTTGCGGGCGTATAAAAACAGGCTACAGTAACTCGAAAATTATTTCGAAACGCAATGAATAATTCATTTTCCCCCTAATTTTCAATGCAAACAAAGTATTTTGTTCACTTTCCTTCTCAACAATGAATAATTTAAGTTTTATATATTCAAGATATTTAAAATTAGTCAATATATATTAAAAAAAATCCCCAACACAAGATGAATGGTCGGTGTTTTAATGAACATTTGAAAATTCGCCCTTACAACAAATAAGACAACAGTTGTTAGTATTATAAAGACATATGAATATATTTAGGATTATTAGGTTAAAGTAATCATTTTTGTCATCCAATAAAGGTAGCAATGATGACATCTGAATGAAATTAACAGCAAATGTCTTATGAAATTTTTTGCTATGTAGTTTATTTCGTATATTTGTAAGCTGATAACGCGTTGATGTGTACACCATATCACCCTTGTTATTATCGGTATTATTATTAATATCCTCTTTACATTTCAGTATATCGCCAGACGCCGTACAGAAAACAAGTTAATTTGCAATTCGCTGTACAACGTTCTGCAATTCGCCTTACAGTAAAAAATAACTGTTTTTGGTCCATATTCTTTAGAAAACATCTTTTTGATAGCGAATTTCAGTAATTATGAAGTCACACTATCATAATCTAAAAATTTGTCTGGAAAAAGAATGAAAAACAGTTGAATATCTGGCCAGCGAGACGTCTAAAGGCGATCGACCTCGAAATTTTCTGGTACCAAGTGAACGATTTTGAAGTTTAACACAACATCTTGTCTTTGTTTGATACTTGTTGGCATAAAAAATTAAAGCAATATCTATCAGAAAATCGTTTCATAAGCGGTAACCTCATCAAAACTGTAGAAATGGTTGAAATTAAAGGATTTCTCACCTTGTTTTTTTTCTCCTTTCTCTCCGCTTCGTTTGTACCCAATTTCCGGTGGCGATAATACACAGTGGTAACGTTATTTTTCATATACTACCTTAAAACGGATTGGGATTTAACATCGTTGTTAAGTATAGGTTAGACAATACTTGGTTATGTTTTATGAATATTTAAAACCCAAGGCGTAATTCATAAAACATGACCAAGTATTGTCTGACGAATTTAGAACATATTCACACCTCCGAGTGACAAAACAAAATTAGCATCTCCATTGTAATAATCAAACCTTAATATGAGCTCACTTTAAGTGTTAAAATGGTTAGTAAAAGGAATTTAAATCATATTTAATGGCCATTTCAACAGATGGAATGAAACAGCAATGAGATAGTTTTGTGATTACAAAAAAAAGATAAATTATTCAAAAATGGAGATTTCTTCTGCTTCAGGTATAATTTAATACTTATACATCTAAATTTCCTTCATTTTAAAAAGCACATAATGTTATATTAATCAGCTTTTCTAAAATGGTATACTTTTTAATAATGACAAAACTTCATCAATAAATTTTAAAATTACAATCCCTTCAACATCAGATACTTACTTTTACTAATGTGTTTTTAAAGAATAACTCACACAACAAGTACATGTATAACTAATGAAGCAGTATGATGCTATGTTCTCTTGAGCACTTGAGTGAAACTCATATTTTCGGTCGACTAATTGTTCGTAATGCTCAATCGTGTGTGTCTTGTGAACCTGTTTTCGTTATTGTTTGGGGCAGTCTATGATGTTGTCTGCCTTCCGATATAAAATGTGATTGCTATCCAGGTATCTCACTATTTGAGAAAGTCATGATATCACTATAGTAACACATTTAATTTCAAATACCTTGGACTGATATGCTTATGTTGTTTGAAGTTGCATCTCGTGGCACGCCACCGGAATCAACGAATCTCACATTACATCTATAGAATGTGTCGTCTATGCACAACAGCTTGTTAAATACCATGACTGCCTTTGTTGATGATTGTGTTATATTACTTAGTGTCACCCTCCCGATCAAATACTGTCCTTGTGGAGTTATCAACGGCTTTATACCTGGTAAATATGTTGCTATGGTGCCAAACGTTGTGGTGCTCGCGTTCAAAGCCAGAAAAGCAACAGAATCGATCCTAAGAACATTTTTAATGGTGTATGAACATTCTATTTGTGTTCCATTATCGCCAAGTAGACCTGTAACATTTTCTTTCATTCCAGCTGACAATGTATGGACGCCTAAAAATGAAATTAAACCTCCCAATAAATCAATGTCATTAATAAGTTCATATGTGTAATAATTACAACACAGCAAATCATATACTCATATATTATTAGTGAATACAATATTTGAAGAAAACTAAAACTGTGAATGACCACCCTAATCTCGTTTAAGGACCAATTTAACATTTTTGTATGTTTGCTTAATTACGCGTCTCTGAAAAATATATATCCTAAAGTATTTAAGAAATCCATCTTTTAATACAAGGTGTCATAGAGTAAAACTTTGTACATTTATTTCTTATCTAAGATCGGTATGTAATTGCCCACATTAATTTACTATGGTCAAGCGTGTTAAGTATTTGTAGATTTATTGTTTTCATGAACTTAAGCAGACTGTCTGATTGACCGTTAAATTTAATGTATGATGCAGCTGTGTTTTAACTGTAATCATTTCTAATTAGAAGCCGTATAATTTATGTTTCTGTTTGTTTATATTCTGTGCCTATACTTGTGTGATCTGGAGATGAATGACGATTTAATGTGTGAAAAAGTCATGAAAGTAGGAAAGGCCTTTTCGATAATAAAAGTAGGTGAATGTTGAGATGCGGGAGAGTTGAAGATAGTTAGTGATAGAGAATGGATGTGTCTCTATATTGAACAATGTAATTTAATGAAAGTGTATATATATGAACTTGTACATAATAAATATGTATATATGAAAATTAGTTTTTAAAGCCAGTGCCTTAGAAAAGCTCCGTGACATTATGGTGGCCAGCGACGGCATTTATTGGTATTTTAATTTATAATTTTGGACTTTAACTGTTAACTCTTCAATATGCCACCCAAAGGACGATCAGGAAGAAATAGATCGGAAGAGAGGAATGCAACAATCCTTTGACAAATCGGGATAGACAAACAGTTGCATGCGCAATTAGTAACAACAAATTGGAAGACAACACCAAAGATCTTTCTGAACAAATGAAAGTGTTGGCAATGCAGAGAGGAAGAGGTGGTTTTGGAAATCGGGAGAATAGATTTCAACAATCGAGAAGACAAGGAAGAGGACGAGGATATGGAAGTAACAGAAACCTACGTGCATCAGACGGTAGGCCGATATGCAATTACTGTGTTAAAGTTGGACACATGGAGAGAAGTGTAATGAAAATAATTCTACTTATGCGTCGGGAAACTAAGAGCTGCTTCCTTAATAGGAGGGAAGGCAGCAGGAAAGGAAATGAATTCTCCTTATATAGTGAAAATAGAAATTTCGGAAATTCGTCTGTCGCGACGTCTGTTCTGAATGATGTGGAAATTAGTACTGAAAAATTTTGTCTCGCCAAGGTTATTTCAGATGTTGTAAATGAAAATGAAATGAATCCTCCTGAAGTATGTGAAAATAGAAATTTTGGAAATTCGTCTGTCGCGACGTCTGTTCTGAATGATGTGGAAATTAGTACTGAAAAATTTTGTCTCGCCAAGTTTATTTCGGATGTTGTAAAGGAAAATGTTATTTCCTGTGAGTTAAATCCGAAGTTCTGTGTCGCCAAAATTAGAGGATTAGTAAATGAGAAAAGTGTTGATACGGGATCAACCATTAGTATTGTGAATGATTGCTTTGTTGATAGGAGCGATGTATCTGAAGTTAATAATGTATGTATCACTTCGGCATCAGGTGATAAAATTAATATCATTGGAATGGCAAATGTAGAATTCAAGATTGGAATGGGTGTGATTTTGTGTATGTTTATGTAGCTAGTAATGTTTCTCATCAGCGTATAATAGGATTAGATATTCTGTGTGATTTGTCATGCAATGTAGATTTAGGATATAATTGTATTGTATTTAATAATAACGAATCTATCAATTTTGAATGTTTAGAGGAAGTTGTTTGTCGTCATGGGACGCCAAGACAGTTACTTTCAGACAACAGGAAAAACTTTCGATCAAACCTTGTGAAAGAAATTTGTAAACTAATGAACACGAAGAAAACATATACAACAGCATACCATCCTGAAACAGATGGCTTAGTGGAACATTTTAACGGAACATTAACTGCAATGTTATCGATGTATGTTAGTGGACACCAGCGTGATTAGGACACGTTTATTCCTTTTGTATCGTTCGCTTATAGAACTTCGTTGCACGAAAGCATACAAGAGACTCCGTCTTTCTTGATGCATGGCCGTGATCCAGTATTATAAGTTGAAGCAGCGATGTGTCCGCCTACTATTACGTATACCTCGAGTGACGATTATAAAGCAGAAATGGTGACCAGACTACAAGAGGCATTTACACTAGCCAAAGACAATTTGCAAGCATCTCAACGGAAGCAGAAAGAACAATATGACTTAAAGTCTGATGTAATAAACTATGCTATTGGTGATAAGATATGGGTTTTTAATCCAAGTACAAAAACAGGACTATCAACAAAACTGTTACACAATTGGCATGGACCATATGTGATAATTGATAAACTTTCAGATGTGAACTATAAGATTCAAATGTGTGATTCGAAAAAGTCTGAACAAACTGTACACGTTAATCGCATCAAACAATTTGTTGATCCAGATGATAGGCCCATTATAAGAGAAGACATCGTTCCGAATGTCACGGAGCTATTCTAAGGCACTGGCTTTAAAAACTAATTTTCATATAGAAGAAGATGCTTTATTTCCATCAAATGGGCTCACAAGGAGCATAATATAATATCATTATAATATTATTTTTTACAAATATAATTAACAATACAGTATACATAGTTACAAACACAAATAAGAAACAGCAGTTTTCACATATATGTATATATATAGGAGTATATATAAAACCTATGTCTCAGGCACACCTCTAGAAAGTAACAAAAAAAAATAATTCTGTGAGTAGGCTAAATATCTATCTTAACTGCAGGCACCAAGGGACGGTGCTATATGGCATGGTGGGTGCATATTAAAATGTGTATCGGGACATTAACATGATTAATGATATGGTAAGATATTGTAAGAAGTTGCACATAACTGGTATGTCATCCTCGTGCCTGGTGCAGAGGAGTCAGTACTATTTAAAGTGACACAACTGCAAGAGGCACCAAGGGACAATGCTAATTGACATGCCAAAGTGCACATATTACGAAAAGATAATAATATTACCAGTTTAATCAAGAAATATCACAAACAGAAAGGTAATAGAACTTATACGATGTGTCCTGTACCCCACCATGCCAACCTCGTGCCTAGTGCAGAAAGCCTGATTTAAATATTTATCTTTCAAGTTATATTTTGTCTTCATCAACTAACTCAGAGACAGATATCAAGATATTAATAGTAAAGTTTGGGCATAGTGAGTTAATAGTGGAATTTAAACAATTTCTCTTATCTTGAGATGATGTACACGAAAATAAAAAATGTTTTTCATCATCAACTCCATTTGAGGTGCACCTGAGACATATACTGTCTAGTCGGAGAGTACCCTGATAGCGACCTTGTTCAATTCTTAGTCTGTGAGAAGAAATACGCAATCGAGTGAAATTTCTCCTCTGCTCAGGTGATTGTAATAAAGTAAGATATCTTTCAAGACCAAAATGAGTCTTAAAAGTGCTATAGCTACAAAGCTTCCCATCAGCACAATTGTGCAATATATACATATTTATTATGTACAAGTTCATATATATATACACTTTCATTAAATTACATTGTTCAATATAGAGACACATCCATTCTCTAACACTAACTATCTTAAACTCTCCCGCATCTCAACATTCACCAACTTTTATTATCGTGAAGGCCTTCACTACTTATGATCGGTATTTATTTGCCCACATTAATTTACTATGGTCAAGCGTGTTAAGTATTTGTAGATTTATTGTTTTCATGAACTTTAGCAGACTGTCTGATTGACCGTTAAATTTAATGTATGATGCAGCTGTGTTTTAACTGTAATCATTTCTAATTAGAAGCCGTATAATTTATGTTTCTGTTTGTTTATATTCTGTGCCTATACTTGTGTGATCTGGAGATGAATGACGATTTAATGTGTGAAAAAGTCATGAAAGTAGGAAAGGCCTTTTCGATGATAAAAGTAGGTGAATGTTGAGATGCGGGAGAGTTGGAGGTAGTTGGTGATAGAGAATGGATGTGTCTCTATATTGAACAATGTAATTTAATGAAAGTTTATATATATGAACTTGTACATAATAAATATGTATATATGAAAATTAGTGTTTTAAAGCCAGTGCCTTAGAATAGCTCCGTGACAAAGGTTAGTTTGCGTTAACTAATAGATTATCAAGGTGCTGAACAATACAGCTATGATCGGTTTAGTAGTTTAGGGATCTAGAATATAATCATTGAGTAAATACGTTATTATGATTTGCATTTGTTATTTGTAAATTTGCTTGTGTATTCATTACTTCTCGAAAAACGGATTGGGTAACATTGGTTGTAACTGTGTTTCAAAGTATAATAAAGGTATTTCAAACTGAACTTGCACGTTAAAAAAGAGGCAGAAGATACACCAAAGGGACAATCCAAACTTATAAGTTGAAGAGAGTGCAAACCGACAAATCCATATCAAAAAACGTAAAACAATGAAGAAAAACAACAATCTACTTTCCACGACATTCAAACTCCTGATCCACATGTGGATCCCGTCGTGTTGATTATTTGAAGTACAAAATCGGTCACAAGACTCATTTGGTAATGTCACAATTGAAGAAAAGAGCTTGTGGCTATAATTGGAACATATCTGTGGTCATCAGTGCCATAGATATTCCATTTCACTAAGAAGGTTCAATAGCTTCATTGTAAGAAGCAACCTTGTATTCAGAAGTTCGTGATTTTTAAAAGGACAGTTCACAATTGGAAAGCTGAAATCGTTTATTTTGTAGTAATTTAAAGTGCATCCAACCGACCTTCATTGTCAACCTCTAGATGCAAGTTAGACAAAATGAGGATGACTTAACTTATTAAGCTCAATAAGATAGATGA